TGCCGTATGCACGACGCAACCGCGCGCTGCAGCGAAGACGATGAATTTGGAGGAAGGTGAAGTCCTCGTCTCGTTGTCGCGGCGTGCGGAAGCGCATCGGGTTGAGCGCGTGAAAGGAATGTACCACGGACTCGGGAAGCGGGGCAGAGAACCACACGGATTCGGTTGACAATCTGGAAGGGTGCGGTAGGTCGGAAGAGGGGGCCCAACTGAAATCCTCGACGCTCCCCGTGTCGATTCGATCAGCGTAGAACAAGAGGCCGCCGCGCTGCTCGGAATATAGCCCTTGGGCTCGGGTACTTCAGCTACGCATGCAGTCCCCGTCGATGGAAAACGGTCGAAGGCGGGTTCCGGGGGAGATGGAGTCCAGTGTGCTCGTCGGAGCTTTGGTAGATGATAAAGAGCGCCGCGACGTCTCTGGTACGTCACTACAAAGACGAGGGGAGGGGCGTAATGGGGTGGCGCAGGCTATGCTGGTGGGCGTGACCTGCTATTCGCTTCTGCCGTCTAGACGAAAATGCATTTCTTCTTCTTGCGTTCAACAACCGGGCCCTGCTGATACTTGACGGTAGCAGCGACAACCTTCAGAACCTAGTCAGCACCGGCGGCCCTGGTAATTTAATCCGCTGCAGTGGTGGTGCGCCTCCGGAAACCATTTCTCCCTGACACTCTCGAACGACGGTGGTATGCCGACGCTGAAGCAGACGAGGAATATGTCCGACTGTGAATACGAGAGTGGGCGCATGCGGTCTTACTCCGTCGTTCCTACATAAAACTCTGTGAGACACGAATTATAATTACAACGAAAAAGGGCGTCGGACCGAGGGTATCGAATACGGGACGTCGCCGACCATCACCGTCTCCGCATGGCCGCCAAAGGTCTGGAAGGTGTCCGTGAGCACAGGAGGGTATCTCTGAGTCGAATACGCACGGTCGGGATGTAATCGGTAGGGAACTCCTTGCATGTATACGGGGTGAGCAAGTAGGTCTGGTGCAAAAATATGTGAATAATGTGAATGGCTTGCGGCAGCGGTGAATGTGAGTACATTTCCCACAGCACTGTCTCCAACTAACATGCATTTCAGTGTTCCAATTTATGTCGATCACAGACGAAGAGAAAGCGCCAGCCAGGGGACAGGAGACGCCAACGGGTCATTTGACGGGGCAAAGCTACTGTTTCACTGAAGACTGCACTTGCAGTATGGTGTTGAAGGCAAGCGACAGAAATCAAGAAACCGTCAAGCTCGAGTCAAGATGTGCCAGATTTTTCAATAGCATTTCGGAAATCGCCAACAAAGATCCAGAGCTGTATTCGGTTTTGGAAGAGGCCTACCGGTAGGCGGACCACCAGTCGCATTCAAACCACAAGTCAACCTGTGGCAGCACTACAGTTGGTGGTCGTCGAGGTACAGCGCAACGTTTTTGTAACTCGGATGTTTCCCGGGCCGGGCCGCCACCGTGACGTTGCCAGGGTATTGCCGGGCATGGCCCTCTTCCCCCGATCTCCAGCCCAGTTTTCGCTCTTGATTTCCCTCTGATCTGCCGGTCGGCTGTGTAAATGTGGAAGCTAGCACTGAAATACAAGGCGCTCTGACCGAAAAATTTAGTATCTCAGGACTTGCTGTAGACGCCATCAGCCTTTTGACAAATAACTTGTGGCTTGTTTGGCCTTGTCCGCTTGTGGACAAGCTCACAAGGTCAAAGTGTCGAGAATTTCCTGCTAATGAGGAAAGATCAAGCTCTCCAAAATATCTGCAGCACCGTTCCTTCACATTCTAAAAGGTTTGCCATACTCAGAAATGATCACCGATTTCTATTTCCCAAAAAAAATATGGTGCCGATGAGAGTCGAACTAGGGACCTTGTGAGATTTCAGACTTGGTTTGTGGGCTTGTCAGCTTGGGAGCTTTTTCGAGCTTGTTCGAGCTTGTTTGGCCTTGTACAAGCTCGCAAGCTATCTGTCAAAAGTCTGATGGCCGTGCCTCGCCTCGAAGAAACTGTACGACAACTTCTGCCCATCGACTGCAACACTGCTCAAATTCGAGGAATTTCCTCACCCGATTACTGTCGGCAAGTCCTGCTTATGGCACTTTCTTCTGTCTAAACACAGGACCATCTTACTTCAGGGTAATTTTTTGTCACGGAGAGAACCAAGACTCCACGACGTTCCATACATTCCTCGTTAATTGTTTGCGCCGCTCGGACCCGTGCCACCTTACTTGCCTGAAGTTGGTTGGCATTTCCGAGCTCTCCCAGCCCCACTTTACGGAGTTGCTGAACGGGCAAGGAGATACTATCATACTGTTGAACATCCGTGACTGTGGTGGAGACTTCTACAACGTCTTTCAATCGCGAAACCGAACCTTGCTCCCAGCACTCGCCGATTTTTCTTACACCCGCTTCCGACCCCCATGATCTATTTCATTAGCACACGGTGTCCGAATGCCGGTGGACCAAGCAAACTCCGTGATGTTTGTTTTGGGCCAAAATTCGAGATTGTTGGGCGCAATAAATATCTTTCCGTGGGAACACCAGGGCGGACGCTCACGGACAGGGTCAGAAGATGGCGCCGGAATAATGGTCTGGATACAGTAATCTTCGATGATATCAAGTACTACGGAGAGAAGGACTTGGACTTTCCAAATAAATAGGAAGCAGTGCTGGATTGGGATTATGGCGGTGGCGGCTTTGACCCAGTGGGTGAGCCAGCATGGTCTTTGGTTTAGGGGGAAGGGGAAGAAGGCGATATACTGTAAATTTGGTGTTTGATATACTTTATTGAACCGGTACCAATTTCTTTCCATCTACAGCGCGCCAATCTGCGGATCAAGCTGAAGATCTGGTTAACTTTGTCAATGCACGAGAGTGCGGTCATCTATCTATGTGTGCACGGTGAATGGGTCAATTGGAGACCCCAATCGACGACATCCCTTTCCATCTCCCTGCGGCAGGCGGAAAACTCACAGGTATTTTTTTTGAGAGGGCGAGAAGCAACAAAGGGCAAAAGACAGGAGTCAGGATGGTGGCAATTTTAAAGAAGTTTAAGTGGCCACCAACTCGGATGGTCGACCAAAGTGAGTCAATTATCACAAACTCGTACAGTTTCTGGGATTTACATGTATCTAGGATGAGAAATATGAATGCCCCTATCACCACTACATCTCTCTGGAAAGCATCGGAACCTTCAGTTTTGGCTGATTCTCCTGCTCCTTCAACGCATGGTCCAGGAATTCCTTTGGCAACACAAACTCCGTCTCGTGCACGAAGAGCTCCTCATCCGACCGAAAGTAATACCACCCACCCACGGTGAACATGAAGTACTGGTCGGGTGCTCCCGGGGCATAAACCAGTGGCTCGATGGTACCGGACAAGCCGTAGACATCTTTGAGTAGTTCTATTCTCGGGGAAGGTTCGGCGAAGAGATCTTTGAGAAGTGGCCAGTCGTCCCAGTCATTCGACCACGGGAAACCGACTGCGGGTGAGTGTACCAATTTTCGTATATCGGACTGAGGTCCTCCACTTGCACTGTCTCGAGTGCCAGAGCTGACATGGAATGCAAAGCACGGCTACTATAAATACTCAGAATTTGATGAAAATAAAAGTAAATGGACTTACAGTGTGAGTTCGCAGTTGTACAAAATGTGGGTGAACAACGACGACATTGGCACGATCATGAGAACTCTGCCGGTCTTATAAGGTGCACTTGATGGCCGTGCGACCGGGCTGTCCTTACAATCGTCCGTTGAATGATCATCGCTGGCAGCTCAACTGCGATTGTTTAGCAAAGGACCTTTCCGAATATCTTTCGACAGCATAAAATTGCGAATTTAAATGTGCTATATCTGGAAAAAACTTGGACCACTATCATGGAGACTGATAAATGGTTTGGTTGAGGGAGAGGGAAAAGGGGCAATTGCCTCAGTCTGAGCACACTAATTCAAGGTCTCCGAGAACCCGGACTTATCTGATATACAGCTGATCGAGTACGTATCTGTATTTGCATTGCTCCAGATCTCCAAACCAGTTGGCACATTGCTTTGAAAGAAAACACAATTTAATTACGATTCAACGAGCTAATGTAGTGCTCATAGTTCACTTAATATAATTGCCACGCCATCCGAGGGTTGCCTATTTGGGTCGGTCAAAGCGCAAAATATGTGTGGCTGTGTCATCCCATCAGCAAGATCAGAATGGTATTTATGGGGTGCTTGTAATAAAACCGCTGATAAGAAAAATTCAATGTGTCAATCTAAGGGTTACAACCGCAATCTAAGAAAGAAATATGTGGGCAAAAGACACAGAAATTCCAAATTCAGATGCGGGGAGTCGAACCCTGAAACACCAGCGCTGAATCTGATACTTTTGTTCCAAAGAAACTGGTTGCATACCATACACCACATCTGATTTCTTGCATAGCTGCAAGTTTTGGATGAGATTTGGTCCTTGGATGTGGAGGATACATGTAATTTGGACTTGACTCAATGTGCAGTAGCATGAATGACTTGACAGTCATAAAGTCACCGGAAAATGTGCAAGAAAGTACTAGATAGGAGTACGGTCAAGACCAAAAGAACTTGCAAGGGGAAAAAAAGAAGGAAAGAAAATGCATCAAGTTCAGATGCGGGGAGTTGAACCCTGGAATACCACTGGTGAATCTGATACTTCTGCTTCAAAGAAGCTGGCTGTGTACCATACACCACATCCGATTTCTGGACTGGTTCAGAGCATACAGTGGTGCTGGATGCAGAGGATCCCGCCCCACATGGCTTGAGTCTTGCAGATTAAAGAGATCAACAGCAATAGTGGTGACCCAGGTCGTCCAAGTGTATGCCAGCTCAATCAACTTTGCTGACCCGCCGGAGGTTGGAATCCCCTTAATACATAGATAAGACAACCAGTCTTTTGTCTCTTTTTCTTTCTTTTTTAATGCCTTCTTGAGTTTTGTCTCTTCAGTTGTGTCATGTCTATCAATGGGTCTGATCCCAGAGCTCAGTCCGGGAAGCATTAATGGGGTAACGGTAACCCAGGTCATACAATTCTGTGTTCCAAAATCTGTTGACCAGCAAGGGGTTCAAATCTCCTTTAATGCATAAATAGTGTTGGATGCATTTTTTTCTTCTTTTTCTTCTCCCCTTTCTTTTTCTGGGTTCTTCCAGTTCCTTTCCATACTGACTTTATTAATTCACCTTCGCCTCTGAGTCTTTTATGTACGTACGGATGGGTCCCTCACCCCGCACAAATAAGTAGTCGTAGCATATGCAATGCCCGGGCCCATTGCTTATTTTCTCAGGCCAGGTATCAGCCGAATCCCAGTGCCCATTCAGTGAGCGAAGCATTAATGGGGTAGCGGTACATAACCCAGGTCATGTGAATGTGGTCCATCCATATCATCTGTCTGGCCAGCTGGGGGTTCAAATCCCCCTTAATGCATACACTCTGCGCAATGCTTTTTTTCTGGGTTCTTCCAGTTCCCTTCCATACTCACTTTCTTTGCCTTCGCCTCTGAGTCCCTGTCTTTTACGTACCGCACCCCGCACGAATAAGTAGTAGCATATGCAATGCCCGGGCCCATTGCTTATTTTCTCAGGCCAGGCATCAACCGAATCCCAGTGCCCATTCAGTGAGCGAAGCATTAACGGGGTAGCGGTACATAACCCAGGTCATGTGAATGTGGTCCATCCATCTCATCCGGATCCTGGCCAGCCGGGGGTTCGAATCCCCCTTAATGCATATACTCTGCGCAATGCTTTTTTTCTGGGTTCTTCCAGTTCCCTTCCATACTCACTTTCTCAGTCGCCTTCGCCTTCGCTTCTAAGTCTTTTACGTGCACCTGCACGAATAAGTAGTAGCATATGCAATGCCCATTGCTTGTTTTCTCGGGCGGTGGCATCAGCCGACGCTGGCGACAACCTTAAATTCGAAACGAGGCGCTGAGGCGAAGACGCAGGACGAAGACGCGACGCAAGGCGCAAGGCGCACGCGCTCGGACTCGACTCGACTGCCTAGCTCAGCTTACGCCGACTTCGCAGCCACAGACGCCGTGACTGCACACTACATCTACATCTCAGGGAATTCGTAACGGCGCCAGACCGGACTGGACAGAACGACCATAGTGTGCGTGTGCATATGCATACGATAACATAACACATTTTTGACTACACCCCCACCCCCGCACGCCTCCTCCTCCTCCTCCTAAAACGAGTCGATCAAATGAGACGATCACGCCTACTCCTCCTCCTCCTCCCCATCGCCGCCCTCCTCCTTCTTGGCGGCGGCGGCGGCGCGCTTGCGCTTGACGCGGCCGGGGCGGCCGCCGCCGTACGGCGAGGTGAGGGCAAAGTCGATGTGCTTCTGCGAGTCGAGGCGCACGACGAAGGAGGGGACGTTGACGATTTGGCGGCCGACGCTGGGAAAGAAGGCAGTTAGAATATGGGCGGATAGTGGGTAGGGAGACGGTGGAGGTGGGGACGGAGGGGAGGGGTAGGCGAGGGGAGGGTGGGGACGAAGAAGGACGGAAGGACGACGGGGGGGACCCGAGGGAATGAGGGCAAGGAAAGGGATGAGGAGGAAGCGAAGGGAGAGGAAGGGGAGGAGCGGATATAGTAGAAGGGATAGAGTAGAGGGATAGCGAGGTATGAGGGAGGGGGAGAAGAAAACAGGGTGCGAGGAGGGAAGGGACGGGAGGAGGGAAGGGATAGGCGGGGGCAGAGTAAGGTAAGGGAAGGGTGGAGGAAGAAGCGAAAGGGGAGACGAAGGCGGATATGGTAGGAGGAAGGTGGGAAGCGGGACAAGGGACAAGAACGCAAGAGAGGTGGAGAGGGGGTGTACTAGATGGGTGAAAAGAGGGCGTGGTATGGCAAGAGGAGGGGGACAGGGACGGAAGACGGGGAAAGGTGGGGGAGGGTTGTGGGAAGTCAAGTAGGAAGGAGGGATAGGGAACAGGGACAAGGCACAAAAAGGCACAAATACACACCGAATGTGGCGCTGACGAATCAGCGTACGCGCGTGGTGGATGGACTTGGCCAAGCCGCTCTTGAAGACCTGGGTCTGCAGCCTGCGCTCGAGGAAATCCTCTACCTTGAGGGCGAGCACGTAATCGAGCCGCATGCGGGCCTCGTCGAGCACACCGATGCGCACGAGCCGGCGGATGAGGGCGTTACCCTCGAAAAGACGCTTGGGGTCCTTGTCGTCGAGCTTGAGGAGCTCACGCGCGGCACGCCGGATCTTGGAGAGGATGAGCGCGATACGCCAGATCTCGCGCTTGTTGCGGAGGCCGTATTCGCCCGCGAGCTGGCGCGCGAAAAACAAGTATCAGTATCCGGATGATGCGAGGAAAAGCAAGAGAGAACCTTCAGCTCATAGTCGAGGCGGGCAGACTCGAACGGCCTACGGGGGACGTTGTATCTGTAGAGTGGGGCGACGGCTTTAGCAAGCGCGACAAGCAACCCTCCACCGCAGTGGATTTTCTGTTAAGCCTCACGTTTTGGAGTGGTTCCTCGGGGCCCTGCACAGCGTCAGCACAACACTCCCCCAGAACGCAGAACATACCTGGGCATCTTGCTGTGCGCGGAGAGGGAGAGAGAGAGTAAGAGGCTTTTTCGATCGGATTTGATGGGGCACGTGCAGCTGGCTAGTTGGCACAGCCGCAGAGGCGACCGATCGATACACGCACAAATAAGGACACAAGCCACTTTTTTCCTACTCCTCCCGCCCGCCGTCGTCGCCGTCCTCAAGATGCCTCACTCATTCGGTTACCGCGCGCGTACGCGCCACATGTTCAAGCGGGGCTTCAAGGGTGTGTCGTGCGGTGTGCACGAGTTGTCTGGTGCTAATGCGAGACGACGACAGAGCACGGCCCCGTAAAATTGTCGACCTTCCTCATCAACTACCACGTCGGGGACATCGTCGACATCAAGGCCAATGCCGCACAGCAAAAGGGTATGCCCCACAAATACTACCATGGGTGCGTCGTCCCCTCTTGTATTTTTGAAAAAATGATTTCTGACAACGACTTGCAGCCGGACAGGCATCGTGTACAATGTGACCCCTTCCGCCGTCGGCGTCATCGTGTACAAGGTCGTCGGCAACCGCTACATCGAGAAGCGCGTCAACCTCCGTGTCGAGCACGTCCGCCACTCAAAGTGCCGCCAGGAGTTCCTCGACCGCGTCAAGTCTAACCACGCCGCACACGTCGAGGCGAAGGAGAAGGGCGGTGAGTGCCCTTTCGTTGTGTTCGTGGGCTTGGCGGGTCTGGAGCTTTCGTTGTGTCTATTTCGTGGGGAGGGTCTTGCTCCGGCTTCCCTGTGCGCTCTGCGCATGCCTGCCCCTCCTGCCTGCCCCTCCAATCCCTTATCTTCCCTCTCTCCCCCGTCTCCCCGTTCTCCCCTCCCTCCCGTGCCTCCTACCCCCTCCCGTGCCTCCTACCCCCTCCCCTTCCCCCACCCTTGTCCCTCCTATCCCTCCCGTTCCACCTCCGTGCACTCTCCCCCTTGCTCCTCCTCCCGCCTTCTCCCCTTGTTCTGTCCAGTCCCTTGCCTCCCCGCCTCCCCACTCCCTCGTCTCCCCTTCTCCCCGTACTCCCTCCTCGCCTTGCTCGACTCGACGATACACCCGTACTGACGCACCACACAGAGCGCATCAACCTAAAACGCATCCCCGCCCAGCCGCGCGAGGCGCGCACCGTCGCCGCCGCCACCGGCGACAACATCCCCCAGACGATGGTCCCCGTCCCGTACGAGACCACCATCTGAGCGTTCTCCCCCTTTTCCTCTTGCCGCGTTTTCTTGTTTGCACGTGGAGAAGAGTGGAGCGGAGAGCGAGGTGCCTCACCTGCGGTGCGGGAGATGTGGGTAGTACACTACGACTGTATGCTATGCTGCTATGCGATTCCATGATGCAAGCGTTGCGGGGGTTGCTTCTTGTTTCTTTTCCTTGAGATTTTTCCCTTGCGCGAGAGGATCCCTGAGCTGATTGAATCAGAATACTTGGAATAGAATACAGAATACATCTCCGCCTCGTCCCTTCTTTCCTTTACCCTGCAATGTCTACCGTCTGCTTTGTGGATCTACATACTTGACTCAGCTAGCCGCTTGCGAGACTCGGCCTACATATAAATCGGACGTGGTGTACGGCACACAGCCAGCTTGCTCTTCGTGCAGATATCCTATAGATGCTGGCAGTCCGGGGTTCGACTCCCCGCGTCCGAATGCTGTAAGATTCTTCTGATATCTCATTTTACCTACGAGCTGATTGAATCAGCATACTCGAAATAAGAGAAAAGAAGTTGGAAATCAGATATATATATACATTACTTGAAATACAATACAAAATACACCCCCGCCTCGTCCCTTCACCAGGGCCTACACCGTCTACCGTCTGCTTTGTGAATCTACTTCACTCAGCTAGCCGCTTGCGAGACCCGGCCTATAAATCGGACGTGGTGTACGGCACACAGTCGGCTTGCTTATGGAACCTGCATTCACAATATAGACGCTGGCAGTCCGGGGTTCGACTCCCCGCGTCCGAATGTCCCAACTTGGGTCTGGATTTTTTTTTTTTTTTGGCGGGGGGCATCTCTTTACCTACATAGTAGCAGCTCTCAACCCGTTCCCTCTTTTTTTGTTTTGTTTTTCACGCAGGCAAAAATCATTCTTGGGATATTAATCGTCACACATTGTTAGATGCAGATCCGGATCCTACTGCAGGAGTGAGTTATCAATACTCTCAAACTTCGTGCACCAGCTTCCACTTGATGCAGAACTGAATTAAGCAGGAAATCGAATGTGGTGTACGGTGCACAGCTGGCTTATCTCCATTGAGGTGTTGACATGTCGCAGGCAGTCCGGGGTTCGACTCCCCGCGTCCGAATGGTCCATCTTGGGAAGAAATTTTTTTTTTTGGGGGGGCATCTCTTTACCTGCATACGAGCAGCTCTCAACCCCTTCCCTCTGTTTTTTTTTTCACGTAGGCAAAAATCATTCTTGGGATATTAATCGTCACACCCACACAATACATTATGAGATACAAATCCGGATCCTACTGCAGGAGTATAGGTATCAATACCCTCGCACTTCGTGCACCAGCCTCCTCCGCTTGATGCAGAACCGAATTAAGCAGGAAGTCGGATGTGGTGTACGGTGCACAGCTCGTTTATCTCCGCAACACTCAATTGATCGCAGGCAGTCCGGGGTTCGACTCCCCGTGTCCGAATGTTCCAATTAGTACACAGCGTCTTTTTGTCTGTTCACAAAGTTGTCTGATCGCTCTTGAAGCTGAATTTAAGCGTAAGTTTTTTCAACACATTTCTGGTGTTTTCCCGAGGTAAGGATATCAATTCCTCAAGAGATATCTTGTGCCGGACGACAAAGTAAAGTACATTCAAGTTGATATGTACATACACTCGAACTAACCTTGGCGAGACGTCAGACGTGGTGTATAGCACACAGCTAGCTTCCTTAGTAGATACATGATGAGAAAAAATTCGCTGGCAGTCCAGGGTTCGACTCCCTGCGTCTGAATAGTATACAGTCTTGTACCACCTGATGGGACATGGTGATCTGATGGGACAGAGCATTTCTGCCCTTCCTGAGCACAAATTGCTCTCGGACTTTTTTCCAATACACAGAGGAACTGGTCCAGTGTACTGTATTAAGAAGTTATGTTTATTGGGCGAAGGGATATTCCTCAGAAATACACTGTCCCAAGTGATGTTCTTGTACTGATAAGGACTTTTTGCTCTTGATCTCGTTTGATATACACAGTTCCCTCCTCATTCACTCAAAGTTCTTGGGGATCCAGTGGACTTCACCTCAAAGCTGTGATCGGCCGGCTCAGATTCGCTATATCTGTAGACATTTATTTCTCCAAGACCAATCTATTTTGGGTGTCCCATCAGGTGGTACAAGACTGTATGGCATCAAAGATTTTTTTTTTTAAAACCCTCCTTCACACTCTTTTTCCTCTTGAGCCCCAGGAAGGTACTGAACTAGGCAGGAAATCGGATATAGTGTACAGCACACAGCCAGTTTCCTTGCTTGGAATCCAAAAGTATGCCTAGAATCACTGGCAGTCCGGGGTTCAACTCCCAGCGTCCGATTGTTCCACATCTCACATATTGTTTTTTCTTGACATCTCATTTTATCTACTGGCTTTCAACCCCTTCCCTCTTTTTTGTTTTCACGCAGGCAAAAATCATTCTTGGGATATTGTCACACCCACATTAAGTATTAAATACAGATCCGGATCTGAATCCTACTGCAGGAGTATACATATCAATACCCTCAAACTTTGTGCACCAGCCTCTTCCACTTCATGCAGAACCGAATTAAACAGGGGATCGGATGTGGTGTATGGCACACAGCCAGCTTGCTTTGCTAAGTATATGTACATTGTAGACATCAATGCTGGCAGTCCGGGGTTCGACTCCCCGCGTCCGAATATCCCAACTATCGTCCAGATTTTTTTTTTTTTTGGGGGGGGGGGCATCTCTTTACCTACATACTGGCAGCTCTCAATCCCTTCCCTCTTTTTTTTTTTTTTTTTTTTTTTTTTTACATGCAGGCAAAAATCATTCTTGGGATACTGCCACACCCACATTAGATACAGATCCAGATCCTACTGCAGGAGCATCAATACCCTCAAACTTTGTGCACTAGCCTCTTCCATTCTGCTTCATGCAGAACCGAATTAAGCTTAAGCAGGAAATTGGATGTGGTGTACGGTGCACAGCCAGCTTATCTAGCTATAGAACCTGCAGCAGATCACAGGCAGTCTGGGGTTCAACTCCCCGCGTCCGAATGTTCCAACTGGAAATACACAACATTTTTTTGTCCATTTACAAAGTTGTTTCGCTTTTGAAACTGAATTTGCATAAATTGTTTTAAACACATTTCTGGTGTTTTTCTGAAGTAAGGATTCCTCGAGAGATATTTTGTGCTGGACGACAAAGTAAAGTACATTCAAGTGGATATGTAAATGCTCGAACTAACCTTAGCTAGAAATCAGATGTGGTGTAGGGCACACAGCCAGCTTGCTTTGTCATGCAGATATACTATAGACACTGGCAGTCCAGGGTTCGACTGCCTGCATCCGAATGTCCCAACTATGGTCAGGTTTCTTTTTTTTGACATCTCATTTTACTTGACTTACTCTCAACCCCTTCCCTGAATCTCTTTTTGTTTTGTTTTTCATGCAGGCAAAATCATCCTTGGGATATTAATTGCCGCACCCACATCCAGTTTCAACCAACCCATTGTATTCTGATGGATGGCACATGCAGCAGGGGGTCAAATATTGCAGTTTTCTGAGCTGGAGGCTCTAGAGCCTATGCTACCGATCATTTGAAGCCAAAAATCTCGGGAAACAGTTTGGTATTCACTGAGAACTGGTTGTTTGTCTGAGTTCTAGATTTGTCCAGATCGGTGGGGGAGGATAGTACTGTTCGTTGTATCTAATCAAACTGTATGAACTACCTTCCTGATAAGTAATGGCTATGATCCGAGCATAAGGCTTTGGCATGGTAAATGTTTGTTAGTAATGTTATGCTGCTATATATAACTAAATGAACTGTCTGTGCACTGTTTCCATCTGTAGCAAACATGTTCTTACCAAGAACATGCCATAGTCCGCAAGGCTATTAGTAAACATCTAATGTATGTAACATGTCCATTATAGATATAACTGTTCATGTGTATGGCATGTGTTCTGGCGATCATACCAACTGATTGTCCAAGTATAATTATTCTAACCCAATTCTTTGGTAACTTCCTCGATCATTGGGAGGCAGGTTGATGGTGTTGTCACATGAGGGGCGCTATCATGTGTGGTCATGCGAGGATCAGAAAAGCACTTGAATCATGACATTACCCCCTCTCTAGGCTCAACATCCTCATCAACAAGGACAAAGTCATTGGTTTCAGGGATAAATAATTTCTTTGTCGAGTATTTTAAGGACTCCTCCTTGGGTTTATACCGGTGGATTAAAAAATCCCAATGCCCCGACGGCAATATTGGCAGGACCCCTGGTCCTATCTGTATCTCCTCTTCCGACGGAAGCTCCCTAACACTAATCCTGTGTTCTCGATGATACTTATTGAGCATTTTCATGCCCACTCTCAGGGTGCGTGAGGGAGATGTGCAGGTATGGATGCAGGAGAAGGGCTCAGCACGGGGCGAATGCAGAGCAGGATGGGTGTGCCCATGTGCAGGCAGGTGTGCAGAGGCGGGCACAGCTGGATGGGGAGGGAATGGACAGGGCAACGCACAGGAGGGTGGTGTGGCAGCAGTGTATACGTGGGGCTGGACTGGTGTGCCGGTACAGAGACAGGTGCACAGAGGGGCAGCACGGGGATTGGCACGGGCATACACAGCAGGAGGTGGAGTACACAGGCAAGAGGTACAGGTGTGAAGGGAGGGTGTGGGCATACGGAGAAGGGACATTGGGGGAGAGTGTGCACAGCAGTGGAAGTGGGTGCACAGGCAGGTGTGGGACCTGGGTGGCGTGGGTGGCAGGCATTCCACGTGGCAGTAGGAGTATGTCAGTGCAGCAGTCAGTGTAGGTGGGGCGGATGGTACCGTATCAATGTAGGCACAGGGGAGGGACACAGTTCCCGGTGCACCACACCTTCCCCACCCCATGGTGCTCCTCGCACAAAGAGTTATGGAAGGACAAGGTGCATGGTGGTGTGGATGCAGATCAACGGGGGGGACAAGAGCATGGAGCATGTGCAGGTGGAGGTGGGACAGAATGGGTGTGGCAGTGCATGGGGAGCAGTGTGGATGCGGAGCAAGATGGGTGTGCAGGGAGGGCACAAGGGTGATCTGGATGTGAGACAGGAAGGGTGTGACAACACACCGGAGGAGGGTGCAGCAGCAGTATCAACGCAGGGCAGGGCGGGTGTGCGGGGAGGGCACGGGGGCGAGGTGGATGCGGGATGGGACAGGAAGGGCAGCGTGGAGAGCACGGACAGTGCAGGGGGCACGGGGAAGGGGAGGTGCTGCATGGTGACGTGGCAAGTGCAGAGGGGCAGTGATGGCATGGGACAGGTGTGCGTGGCACGGGAAGGGTGGGGAGTTCCTCTTTCCATTGAGATGGGAGTTCAGAGCTTAGAGGTTGGCAAGACACGTGCCAGTAGTTGTACCACCCACTGGAATGAGAATCGAAAACATTGTTTTTATTCAAGTGCCACCGGCAGTGGAATGGGCAGTAGTGTGTGTCCAATTCCAGAAACATCTAGTAAGCCATAGCATATATACCGTGCTATGCCGCGCTTGCCCAGTGCTGTCTAGTGCTAGGTGCGACTATGGACATCTATGGATGCTATGGAAAATATGGGAAACTGTGGCTCAGCTACGGTTTTCCTGATATCACATGTTCTCCCACATGAAGTGCGTATACGCATCTGTCAATATTCAGCAAAAGGAAGACTGCTGTAGTCGCTTATTTGAGGAGGCAGCACACGAGAATGTTGTAATGTGGGCCGAGTAGTACATCTGCCTGAGGGGGACATACTCGGGCATCTGGTACAGCCGCTGATTGATTCTGGGAAGGTTGCACCACTATTTGAGTTGGACATCATCTCAATACTATGGAGGGTGGAATTATGGTGGTAAAGCGGATGCTAACAACATAGAGTGCGAGCAGGAACACGGGACAAATGACTTAGCTTGACCTGAACTGTCCCCTCCATCACTGTACATCTAAAAGGTTGAAATGACTCAATCCCTGTATCACATAGCACCGCAAATGAGCAAACCCTAGAAATCAAAGCCAGTGCATAGCACCACAACATTATTATTGTTTCCAAGACCTGGCACGCTCCTAAGGCACGCAGAAACCATGGAAGCAATTATGGACATACTGCCCCCACCAAGAAACAGTGAGCACATGTACAACTGCACAGCTCGTAAGCAACTGTCTCCGAAATGTGGAGAGGTTACAGCAGAGGTGATGGGCGAAGGCGCCCACAAATATCTCCCATATGCAGGCACTCTCCGGCTGAATCACCCATCAGATGCAATCACAGAGTTTGCTACTCCTCCCAGCACGAGATCACTTCCCCAACGAAGAGAAGGTGTTGGCACACACAACACACCAGGAGACATATACGAACAGTTTGAAACTCACCGCACTCCTCCCACTCGTCAATACCTTCCTAGAGCTCATGAGGAAAAAGAGTTTGATGGAGGGTAAAAAAAAACAATTGTCAGTGCAATATATTTGGACGTGGGGAGTCGAACCACGGACTGCCAACAAATTTTTTCTCGTCATGTTACTCATGTATGTACTAAGGAAGCTGGCTGTGTGCTGTACAGCACATCCGATTTCTAGCTAAGGCTAGTTCGAGCCTAGGGGAAGGGCCAATGTACTCTGCTTTGTCCAGCACAAGATCTGATGTCTCGAGGAATACCTCCAGAAGTGCAACAAAATTAGGGACCCTGGTAACAAGATGAACTTAAGCAAAGAGGGGAAAAACCTACAAAAGAAAAAACAGGAAGGAGACAATTCAGATGCGGGGAGTCAAACCTCAGACTGCCAGTGATCCTGTGCTTTGGAGAGAAGGAAGCTGGCTGTGTGCCATACACCAAATCCGATTTCCTGCCTAGTTCAATATTATACCTCCCTAGGGCTCAAGGGGAAAAAGAGTTTGAAGGAGGGTAAAAAAACAATTGTCGACCTGTATTCGGATGTGGGGAGTCGAACCCCGGACTGCCTGTGATCTGCCGCGGCTTCTATGGCTAGATAAGCTGGCTGTGCACCGTACACTACATCTGATTTTCTGCTTAATTTGGTTCTGCATGAAGTGGAACTTGAGGCTGGCTGGTGCACAAAGTTTGAGGGCACCAATACCCCAGTAGGATCTGGATTTGTATCTAATGTGGGTGTGACGATATCCCAAGAATGATTTTGCCTGCGTGAAAACAAAAAAAAAGGGGGAAGGGGGTTGAGAGCTAGTAGGTAAAATGAGATGTCAAGAAAAACAATATGTGACACGTGGAACATTCGGATGCAGGCATCCCTATCTCTGCCATATCTTTGTCGATGTGCGTGAATTTCGCCATGATCCCATATGCCATATGTGTCACAGACACACTTGGCCCACGCCGTAAGTGCTTTCATGTGCTTCCCTTGATCTATTGATGACGCAGTTGAGAGAAGCAAATACGACAAAGGGAAACATGCCCCATCCAGCTCGCCCATGATGCTGTACAACTTGAGGTGCTTCGAATTTGTGTTATCTGCACCGCTGTCAGTCTCACTTTCCTAATTAGGCTACAAGCACCTACATATCGCGTCAACCCCAATTTCCACCACCTTCCCCTTCAGCGGCTCGGCAATCTTCTTCATACCCCAACAAATCATCTCTACGCCTTCTGGGACGGCTTGTGGTTCAAAGATGTGCACATTATTGGTTTGTTCTTCAAGCAGTTTCTTCGCA